GCCCCAGTACTGCTACTGCAGGTTTAGGTGGGTCTCCATCAGAGACTTGCCATGATCAGTAGCGCAACAAGTTGAAACAGCCCTGTCAGGCTGTCCTGCCTCTCCCCCAGCAGTGACCTCCAGCCCAATAGGTGGCATCCAGTCTTTGTTGTGATGATATTACTTTCACTTAGAGATCAAGATGAGACTTTCAAGCCTACCTTTCACTGCTAATGGTCCAGAAACTGGGACTTGCATCTTTTGCAGAAAAAAGCAAACATTAATCTACTCATTTTCTGTCTCCATTTGCCAACTGCCCTATAAAATACTACTTAAATTACTGAAAAAATAATATCTCTCTGCAATTTAATTAAAAAAATAAGCCTGCCAAACAAAACCAAGGAATTTATCTATTACTGGCCTGATCAATAATATGTAATCTGGTTTCTGGAAACATCACTGCAAGACATGTTTTTCTCTTATCTGCTTCTCTGTCCTTTAGCATCACCGCATGCCCATGACAATAAACAGTTCCCTGATAACACAGTGTATGTATTTACTGTTCTGACTGATATAGGATGTATACATGTAATAAAACAATACCCAGTAATTCTTGACAAATCCATTAAGATGAGTTAGGCATCAGCCTGTGTTTAAAGACACAGTGCTCTATTATCATGAATTGTCAACATCCTCCCTTAGCAGTTGCAGTGCCCAGCATGAAGGAGACACAAAGCCTCTCACCGGGTTCTGTAATCTTTAGCTCTGACCCAGAGGATTGCTCCCCAGCCTTTGGTTTTCACAGCACCCTGTGCTACTTTTGTCAGTCTGGGAGTACTGCTTTGTTGTCAAGCAGAAACAGTTTCTGTTAACTAAGCATTCTGCTACAACTCCTCCCAGGGTGAGTAGTGTTAAAGACAAGGCACGTTATCAGACTCTATTTCTAGTGTTAACAAATTGACATTATTTCTCCTATTTTGCTGTCAGAGTTAAAAGCAGGATGGATAAGTTTAGTAAATGCCATGTCTTTTGCATACTATCAGTACTAAAACTACTCATCCATTTCTCATAGGATGATTCTTTTGTACCATATGTCTTTATTTTTAATTGTATGTACTATATATATCTGGTTAACCTGAAGATATTTAAAAATACCAGAGCTTGGCTGTCTCTCAAAATTCTCCTTCTGTTTTGAGACAATCAAGACTGGAATGAGAAATAAGAGTATGGTAGACTTCAGCTATTTATCTCATTGCTAACTCTTACAATGATAAACTCAATACCCTATACAATTACAATTCTTAGAAAAGGAAAGGATAAACATTCAATTATAGCATTACTTTTTATTAAAAGGTGTCATTTTAAAATTGGGACTTAAATCCCACTTCACATCAGTTTTAATTTGGTGTAAAATAGATAGTAGTACCACCCAGTCTTTAGCTTTACATTATTTATAGCCATATTTTATAAGCTTCTAAGTAACAAGTCCTTGGGTAGCCTGATAGAGGCCACTTAAAAGACCTTTGGTGCACAAAAGCGCTTTGCACAACTCTTACAGTGCATGGGTGAGGGAGGTCACAATGGGGGCAAATTTAAGATGGCTGCAATTTACTCCTATTCTAAGGTCCCTTTATGTTACTAAAGTGATGTAAATGTTTAAGTCAGAAGTACGTTTAAAATTACCAAATGAAAGGGGCTAATCTCCCAAAGCTCCCTGCCCGACTTTTTTTTTTGGCACAGAGAGAAGTTTTTAAGCTGCCATAACTGAAAGGCAGAAATTGTCCTCAGCAAGAACCAGTTTCTGGTGCCATTAAGGACTACAGAAGAAATCTACTAAAATCCCTTGTTGAGCTTCACCCTTTTCTCTGACATCTGCTGAAAACTGTTTAATATATTACACACTGTCTAAGAAATTTTCTTCTTCCTAACAGGATTTAAACTCTTTACTTTTATAAAATATTAAGAACAGGATATGTTATGAACTATTAAGCAAAATACATTAATATTTCAGGATAATATACATGAAAGGAAATAAATCAGAACAATGCTTCCATGGTATCAAAACCAAATGAGAAAAATCTAAGACACTCAGGTTGATATGTTTCCACTGCCCAGGATCATCACACTGCCATGTCTCCTGTACTCCCTTTCTTCACACACAGATCAATCAACCCAAACACACATCTCTCATGTGGGAACAGGAGGTCAATTCTTTGGCCAGTTTGGATGTGGCTGCCTGGCTCTGCCTCTGAGCAATCTAAGGGCATAGAAGTGCTCTCAAATCAGGGCGAGACAAGGCTACCTCACAGGCGTGATCTGGTGAGGGTAAAGTGAAAGGATCAAAAACATGGTAGGAAAGGGAGAGAAGTTAGGAAATAATAAAATGCATAGACTGACTTTGTGCACAATGTTTAGCCAAAAAGTAGCAAGAATGAAAACATATTACTCAACAGCAGCTTTTAGATAGTAACTTCAGTATAAAAGTATCGATGCCATTAAACTAATTTGAAAAATTACAGCAGGCTCAGACTGTGGCATTGCATATAACAAGGGAAATATTGTATTTTACCCTTTTCATGCAATTAAAGACTGCTTAAAAGCTCTTTGAAGTCCATTTCTGATGGCTGAGATTGATACAAGCTTAACAATTGGAAGAAGAATAAAGAAGAAACCTAAGGGATGTACTTAAGGAGTGTTTGCATTTTGCTTGTGCTTTACTATTTAACCTTCTGAAGCTGCTGTGGTTAAGTCGGGCCCTCATTCAGCAATGCACTTAATCATGTGCCAAATTTCATTGATTTCAATGGGACTTAGGCTTTGGCTTAAGTGCTTCACTAAATTCTATATAATTTTTCACTTTACCTTACTTCTTTATGAAATTAACAGAACTACACAGAGTAATGTATTACTCAGTATAAACTGTTGGGTTTTCATCAGGTGACACAATACCTAACTGGAAACTTCACTACCATTTAACTAAAATAACTGATAAACTCCAACTATGCATAATAAAAATGTGAATTGCTGTAATAATAAATCTGTATTTTCCCAAGTACTTTTCAAAAGGAAGAATGGAATCATAAAGCATCAATATTGCTAAAACTGTGTGATCTATGCCAATGTAAGAGTCAAGTAAGTCATTTGACTATTTAAAAATAATGTTATTTTCCATCCAGATATGTTATAAATTAACAGAGAATTTATGCATTGCAGAGGAAAAGAAAAGTTACATTATTTTTGATGAGGTATCATAACAAATACTAATTCTTGTTACATTTTGACAAAATGTGAGGAAGCTGATTTTACACATGCATATTAGTTGTCATTTCTATTTGAGTTGCATTTTTTAATGCTATTAATTCATCTGCAGCTATTCACCAATTCTCTGTTGTTTGAGGAATCCCTAAATTTCAAAGGCTCTTAAGTGCCTTTAAAGTATGTTTACCCAGATGTATGTCAGAAGAGAGTGAGGACTGAACTGAAAGGCTTCAATCTCTGGAAGGATTTTAATTTTCAGCTTCAACTTTCTGTCACATTTTGGGTGAAGAATGAGAGAAGAATTTTTCTTCCTGGAATGCTTTGCTCACCCTCATCTGCCCTGCCTGACTGAATTTCTGTGTTTATAAGGAGAAACAGAGCTTTTATGAAAGCATCTATTTCATTACCTTTTAATCTTTTGAACCTTATTCTGGCTTATGGATGCCCTGACTGCACTTGGGTCTCATTTCTCATGCCATCCTTCCTTGTCCTGTGGTCAAAATAATGATGCCAATGAACCCTGATAGCAAGAAATTATGTAGCTTGAGGAACAGGTGTGAACTGTACCTTCAATAGGTACACAGCCTGTTAGTACAGAGCAGGGCAAGCCCATTGGAGGGGAGATAAAAGCAGAAATCATAATTAGGTCTGTATGATACATGGTCAGATTTAATCAGTATGGTTTCTCAAAATAAAGAATTATTTTGAGCAAATGTGGAAGGCAGCGAATATGAATTTTAATTTCCAAAATTTTTGGACAAGAGCTTGTATGGAAAAGAAGCAAAGAACTGCCACAGATCAAAGCTGTGTCTCTGGAGCAGAAATTAAAGAGCAAGGTGAAATAGTTGGCTTCTGTCGCAGAAATGGTTCCCAGCAAGGAATCTCAGTGTTCCATAGACAGTTACATACTGTTTCATTAAGGATTTGGGAAGAAAGGGAAAAGCAAGTATAAAAATTTGCAGGTGACTTTTGCCCCCTGCTACATACAAGAGAGCTGTGGAAGTGTAGGAATCACTGGAGCCCAGTGACAGAGGTTAGGAAATGAATTAAATATTTGCATGGATAACAAGAATAAGTAGTCATAATGATGGTTTCAGTCACAGGGACTGTAGGAAGCAGTGTGTGAAACATTAGCTTTAAAACTGTTTTGCCTCTTCTATGTGAAATAATTCTTCAAGTTAAACTTACAGTAGACTAATACTTTGTAAGAAAACTATCTGTAAGGTAACCTGAGAAAACTGCATTTTTGATAAGTTTACTCTGCACACTTTTGTAGTGTTAAAAGCCACACACAACACAGAAAGTTATAAAGGATAATGTTTAATATCAGTCTAATCAAATACAAAACATTTTCATTATGACCCCAAATTAAAATTTTTAGTACAGAGTTCTTTTAATGCAGTTCAGTTCCTTGCTCTTACTTTTCACACAGCTCTACCAGCAGTTGTGCCAGCACAACAGAAGGGATGGCACAGGGTGGGAACAGCAGCTGGGGGAGGGGAGAACAGGAAAGAAGGGGTTGGAATTGTATAAACTAACCTCAGTGCTAAAGAAACCTGTCCATTACCAACAGCAACATATACAGGTAGTGCTGCTCCCCTTTATTGGAAATTTTTTATAGAAATACAGCTAAATGCAGCAATTTACAGCTGTAAACCCAGATCAAAATTGATGAAAGAATGGTATTTTTAATATATTATATAAACACACGTGCACAAAGTTAATTGGAAGAGATTA